AGCCCCAAAGACCCGTGGTTAGGAAAAAAAACAAAGCACACAGCAAGTAAAATATGAGAAACACAACACAAGAGCAGAATCTTAAAGAAACAAGTGACCTGTAAAGGAAAACATATTAAGATTACAGTAGGCTTCTTGATACAAACCTTAAAAGCAAGGAGAACACAGAATGAAGTGTGTAGTTCTTAAAAAAAAAACTTCCAGCACAGTCTGTTATATGCTGTAAAACTATTTTTCAAAATTGATTTAGAAATAAGATACTTCCATAGTTAACATAAAGAAATTCATGACCACCAAATCAATACTCTAAAAAATTCTCAAGGATACCCTATAAGGACAATGCCAAAAGGACCACTAAAATACACTAGATAGAATACACTAGATAGGGTTAGCAATGAAATGGAAGGGAAAAAAAGTCAGACAGCAACAGGAAATTATACAGTGATAGGATTAAGTCAATACCTATCAATTACAACTACCTATCAATGTAAATGGACTCTACTTATTAATCAAAAGACCCAGATTAGCAGGATGGATCAAGAAACAAAATCCAAAGGCAGGCTGTATAAAAGAAACACATTTACCACTAAAACAAATTCACAGACTAAAGATCAATACACATTCTTTTGGTTGTACATGATACTTTCTCCAACACAATTCACATACTAGTCAATAAAGTATGCCTAAGGAAATGCCAAAAAACTGAAATTTTACCATGCATATTATCAGATCACAGTACAAAGAAACTATAAATCAACAGCAAAAGAAACCATATAAATTGTGCAAACGTGAAAATTAAATGCTTGTAATTGTTATACATAATGGAGTACTATGCTAACCATAAAGCAAGATAAACTTGAGGCATTCGTAGGTGAATGGACGCAAGCTAAAAACACATTAAATGAAGTCAGTCAGATACACAGCTCAAATATTGCATGGTATCCCTTATATAAGAAATACCTGTGATAGATATACACACACACATAGAGAGAGAGAGAGAGACCACAATAGAAGAGATACAAATATAGTAGGATGAAAAAGTTCAAATATGTCCCCCAAATAACATATTCTATTGTTTTAAAAATATTTCAACATGCCTGCTAATTTGGTTCATTTATATGATTAGTTTATCTTAGTTTGTCAAAAAGAAAGTTTTGAGTTTTTTTCTTTTTTGTAATAATTTTTGGTTTATGTTTTGTACTCTGAGTAACTACTTTGAAGATAAAGATACACAGTGTATCTATACACTATAGTTAATTCTCTTATAAAGTGGTTATACTTTTTTTTCATAAAATAAAAAAAGCATTCTATATGAAATATTTGGCGACTTATTTTATTCAGATTTACGCATTTCTCCCCCTCCCCCCGCCCTTTTCGAGACCAAGTTTCGCTCTGTAGCCAGGCTGGTTTTGAGCTCACAGTAAGATCTTCCTGTCTAAGCCTCCTAAGGCACTAGAATTATAGGTGTTCCAATGTGGCTGTTATTTGCTGCTGTGAACATTCTTGTACACAGCAAGATTTTCTTTTATATATACTGCTGAACAAAACTGTTAAGCCACAGTATGTATAAATGCTCAATTTTAGGTAATAGTATCAACTATTTTCCAAAGAGTTTAACAATGTCAAAATCTTTAGAAAGCTTGTGAATTTAGTTATATTATGTAATATCTACAAAACAACGTATACATTTCTGAGATGTTTACTTGTGTCTTTTGTTCGTTGTTATTAGATTGATGGTGCTTTATTTACCTTTGGACATACAGAACAGACATTTCTGTAACAATCTAGAGTGTATCTTGGATTCTAACTTTATTACTTGAGTTACCAATTTGTAGTGGTTGATTGATTACCAATTTGTAGTGGTTGATTGATTGTGTCAACTTGAGACATTTAGAAGCTTAAGTAAATGGGTTTAGCAACTCTACACCCAAGGATGTAGAAGAAGACCCACCTTAGGGTGGCTCATCATCTGGAAGTATAAAAGGGAAGGAGGAAGCACAAATGCATTCCATTTTTAGAAGAAGCTCCAGTCTTCGACTTTGGTTTGGATGTCCCATTGTAGAGCCTTAGGCCTTCTGTCACAGACCCATCAGCCTGCTAGTGCAGACTTGCACAAGACACTAGGGTGAACTCCAGACCTTGGATTGATTCCTTTGGCCTCCAATGTGTAGATACCTCTGCATGCCTCTTCATCCAACTCTGTGGCTGACCATCGTAAGCCAATCTTGTTTCTTTTACATCTGTGTATCTCATGTTATATCTGTTCTCTAGTAAAACCCTAACAGACAATTCATACTAAATTTGATTTTCATTTTCTCTATAAATTGTTCTGTACCTATCTCTGAAGTACAATTTTCAGAATGTACATATACATACATATGCATATATGTGTATACATAATATGCAATATTGTCATCAGGTACACATGCAGAAAAATCATGAATTTCAGCAAAAAATCAGACACATTCTTAATTACCTTATAATTTTTTTTTAAGTTAGGATCCAAATATAGACCCTACCTTGCAATTGGCTGATATGTCTCTTAGAATTCATACACTCATCCTCCATCTGGGGTTAGTTTTTGTTTGTTTGTACGTATGTGTGTCTTAGAAGAAATCAGTCTGACGCTGGGCATGGTGACTCACACCAGTAATCCCAGCACTTAGGAGGCTAAGGCAGGATTGTTGGAAGTTCGAGACCAGCCTGGGCTACAAAGTGAGCTCAAGGCCAGTCTGAACTGTATAGAGAAACCCTGTCTCAAAAAAAAAAAAAAAAAAAATCAGTTTGTCATAGAGGATTCCATAGCTTTGATTTTGCTAATCCATCCTATAATGTATAATTTCTAATCCCCTCTTGAACCTAGAAACTTGATCAGATTTGTTTTCATTTATAAAACTAGATAGCATACACATCATACCTCCAGAGACAAAATGTGTCTCTTTTTGAGATATAGGCAAACACTGCCAATCAGCACTTAGATTCCTATTGAGGAAGTCAATCTGGGAGCCTGGCACAAAGAAGATGCAACCTAATCCAGTCTGCCAAGATAGAAGTAGGTAATGTTTTCCATGTAGAAGGAATAACAGAAGTACAACAAATAAGAGAAAATGTTCACCTTACAGTCAGTGCAAAGTGAACAGATTCAGAGGACACTGAGGAAAAAATGCCACAAAACTTAATCAATTATAGTAAGGAATGAGAGAAAAGGAATAATAAAAGACTATGCTTAGATTTTGGGTTTAGAAAATTTTATGAATAGTATTTTCAATCATGAAAAGAAAAAAAAAAAGAACAAAGTGAATCTGAAAAAGTTTATATTAGTTCCAAGTTTCAGATAACTCTATATTTGAGAATGAAAACACCCAATAAATCAATAAATTTTCTTAGAATTCAAAGGAATAAAGTGGAAAAGAAACACAGATTTCTGTTTCCTTAGCATAGAGGTAACAAATGATATCGCTATATAATGACATTACCCAAAGAGGATTCACTAAGATTACACCACTTCAATGTGCTAAATGTATTAAATGGGTAGGAAGATAGGGAGGCCCTGTATTAGCTTTACCACTGCTGGGATAGAACACTTGATACTCACAACTAAAAGCAGAGGTTTAATTTAGCTTGTGTTTTCAAAGGATTCAGCCCATGGCTTGACAGGAAGGAAGTGACAGAACAGAGCAGGAGAACATCAGCACCAATGAAGGGACCAGGGAGCAGATATGTAACTTAAGAGCATATCTCCATAACCCACCCAGACACACAGAACTGAGCCTTACCAATCCCCCAGGCAGCTCCCAAACAAATCAAGTTGACAATTAAGCTTGATGGTTACAGGTCAAAAATAAAATGTTTCAATAAGCAAAACGGAAAACAAACACCACAAAACTCTGGGGGCACAGAAACCTAAGAACTACACATTGAAAGTGTCAGAGGTAAATAGCACCAATGAACTATCTATAGGTTAGTAGGACTAAAATAAGTAGTCAGGCAAAAAAAACCTCCTCCAAATTAGAAAGTATTCACCTTTTGACAAATTAAACCATTTTTCCTAAGAACATGGGGGGGGGGGGGACGACAAGGACAAAAATAAACTAAATAAATTTCAGTTTTAAAAATTTCTTTTTTCTTTATATCTGTTTTGCTCCTTTTAATATTTTATCAATGAGTTTTAGAATATGTTCAATTTGAATTAATACAAAGTCATTAATCAAATATCCATTGCCCTTAGTATTTGATGCTCAAAATCTGGCTAATTCTAGAGGCCTACTTGCAACAAAAAAACTACTTTTGGCAGTTAGTTAAGAATGCATAAAACAAGCAAAGCCACTCTTAGAATCAGGCCTCTTTTCCTCTTTAAATCACTGACTCTATTTGAGGCTATGTCAATAAGTGTGGTCAGTAGCAACATATGAGCACCTTTCTTAAAAAACTGTAATTCAAAAGCCAGACGTGGTAGTGCACTCCTGTAATCCCAGCATTTGGGAGGCTGAGGCAGGCAACTATTGCAAGTTCAAGACCAGCCTGGGCTACAAAATGAGCCCAAGGCCAGCCTGAACCATGTAGTGAGATCCTGTGTCAAAAAGACAAAAAAAAAAAAAAAAAAAGTAATTCAGGTCCACAATTAAAGATGTGACATGATTAAATCAACTGAAGTTCAAGATTTAAAGTCAGAACTAAACACAAATCCACCTCTGCTAATTACTTTCTGACCAATTCTGAGAATGTTCTTTAACTCCTTCAGGAAACATAACAATCAAATAACTATAAATCAAAGTAAGATAGTCAAATTGCAATTAGAAGTAGTTATAAAATTAAGAAAAATTGGTAATTAGGCAATAAAAAACAAGACTTTAATCGCCATGAAAACTGCAACTGCTTACTGACATGTAACCTATGTTTTCAGGAAAAGAATGGGAATTAGGACACATATTCCAAACAGGGTCTTTCAGAGCCAGCATCTAAAGAACAAAGGGGTCATGGCATAAGGCAAACAGAAATACCTCTTCCTTCTGTGAGTCTCCATGAGCATATGCTACTTTGAGTCTAGCCACTTCAGCTTTCTTCTCTCACAAGAAGCAGTAACTCAATGAAAAACAAGAGATTAAACTTAGAAGTTACTTAGTAACTAAGACATTACTAACATGGAGACAAGTCACATATGAACAGTTTCTGTTAACTGAAAACCATCCAGAATCACGCAAGAAAACTGTAATCAGCTCATAGGTTGCTAATCCTTGCTTTGGAGCCAATGTTCATCAAATACTAGGTATTTTATCAATGTCAGTACATTTAATACTTAACACAATTAAGATCCCATTTTAAAGTTAAGAAAACAACATAATGTTCAGCATAGCCATGCGCAGGCTGCTGCCAGCATGGGGACAGCCAGAGCCAAGCCTTTCCCCATAAATCTGTGCCATCCCTGGACTGTAGAAGGAGAGAACCAAGAAGCAAGCCTCCCCTGCGAACCAGCGCCATGCACAGGCCATTGCCAGCAGGGGGAGAGACAGACCCCAGCCCCTTCACGCACATGGGCTGGCAAACAAAAACCCCACCCCCTCACCCCTAAAAGCAACTGGCTGATCCAGAGAAACACAGGCTGTGATGACAGCGATGGAGGTGAAATGCAATTGTTCCTAACGGTGTTTTGGTGTTTCACCGACCTTGCAGGTCTAGGGTCAGTGGTCTGATCATCTGTTCAGAGGATAGCAGTACGCAGTGTGGCATCTAGGGGCCATCTGCTTCTGGGGGTAGTAGTCACTACTGATTCCCTATTGTCTTGTCTTGAATTCCTGTATCATTGGTTTTATTCTCTTTTGTTTGATTTTATTATATCTGATGGCATGAGCAGCTACTTCAAAGACAGCAAGATATATTATGGCAGCCATTTTGGATTTACTATTGTCTTGTTTTGAAGTCCATTACTACATTCATTGTTTGGTTTTTATTGTTTCTATTCTGTTCTGTTTGATTCTGAGCTATTCTATTCTGTTCTGTCTGAAGGCATCTGCAGTTATTTTGAAGACAACAAGAGGTGTTATGGTAACTATTGTGGATTTCATAAAGTTTTGAAGTCCTGTATCACTTACACTGGTTTATTTTGATTGGTTTTATTCTGTTTTATTTTCCTTGGTTTTATTCTCTTTAAAATAAATAAAATGAAATAAAATAAAATAACATGTTCACCATAGTTTCTTTCCTCTATCAGGTATTCAGTATTTACAATTAATATTTATAAAACTGCATTGAACCTTTATAATTAAAAAACAATTTACATTATTATTATTCACATTACATTAATTTACATATTACATTATTAAATTATATTTGCATTTATTAATTTGCATTAATATTCATCAAGAAAATGATTCATTTTGTTGAATAATAAATTGCAACTTCAATTCAAAGAAATACATGATTCTGGATATTTACTATTTAAATTTTCTATAGGTCTAAACAATATTAATCATATTTATCTTTTAATTTAATTAATTAGTTTATTTCTCTTAATAGTTTATCTTAAAAATTTGTAGTTATTTCCCCCCAAATTCACTTGCTTTCCTAAAAATTGTACTTATTGGCAATTACAGAATTATGTACAGTTCTGTAAATTATATACAATAAAGGTTAATCTTTAACAGTTACTATCTTCCCCAAAACAAAATACACTAGCATGTTAATGGAGTAAAAAATTTATAAAAATGATGCAACCTTGGAATATCAAATTCCTATATGATATCGAGGGTGTAGACTAAAGAGACAACATTCAAGGCTGCATTCATCACTTGAAAACAGGATGAATTTTAATCCTAAACCATGAGTGTGCAAAGCAGTATTTATTTCATCAGTCAACACTGAAAATAAGTATGAAAAAGTGGTATTTTTATAGGGACAACTCAAGACAAGTATCTGTAAAATTCTATTAAAAATATTTCAAGACAGTTTTCTCTTACATTATCAGGTATAAAATACTTACAGTTTGATAATATGAGGATGACGAAAGAGTTTCAGATTTTGAATTTCTCGTTTTATTTTTCCAACAACATCTAAACTGCGAATCTTCTGTCTATTTAAGATTTTAACTGCCACTTTATGGCCTGTCAACTGATGCTCTCCAACTAAAGAAAAGAAAAAGGGGAAAATGTGCTGTCATGTTAATGTAACCATCACTCATGCTTCCTTCCTCCGTGCCCTAGACTTTTTATAAACCACTCCTGTGTCATCCTGCTCACAGAACCGAAGCTCTCTCTGTCACTTCTAGCTGAACAGGCACCGTGCAGGACAGCTCAGACCCAGGCCTTCACCAACTCTGTTCCTCAGTGCTGCTAAGAACTGAATCACACATTTGTGGAAAGAATTACAGAATTCTGTATTCCCACATAAAAATATAACCAATGTCAAAACAACTTTTAAACAGAATAGAATCTAGTGTATTTTCTCCTTATTGCTCATCTTCTGCGTAATGCTATCATAGAAAAAATAATTGCTACAATTAGAAACTTAGAATTGGTTTTGTTACTATCTCATCAGAAAACTTACATTGCCCTTTTCCATCTTTTCCATAAAGCCATGTTATATTAAACAATATTCTTCCTTTTTTTCATGTAATACATGTGTTTTATTCACACTAACAGTGATAATCCTTATCCACACTAACCGTGATAATCCTTGAAAACTGCTCAGATTAGAAGAATCTCGCAATTAGGGAACAAACTTGTCAGTCTTCTCTCCAATTTCCCTCTACTTCATTCTAAAACTTCCTCATTCTCCTCAAAACACCTACCTACCTTGACTCTTTTCAGCACACAAACTCCCTTTTGCTCTCTTTGGGGCAAATAAAATTATTAAGAATGCTCTCCTGTATTAAAGGCATCTTCTTTAATTCCCTTCTTTCCTCTAGCTGCAAAGATGTGTGGTCCTCCCTCCTGCTCAAGGCCAATCTCATTAACTTATGTCCATGAACCTACCCTGTTTACATATTTTGTCATATTTCACATTTTTCTTCCCAAATACCTCTTTCTTCTCAACCTATCAACACTCCCCCAAAAGTCTTCCATTTATCCAGTATCTTCTTCTAGTTCCAACATTTGTCTCATCAAAATTTCTCCAAACAGTTCACATTTTCTTCTCTTCATGTCTTAGTACCATTCTACCATTCTCAAATTCATTGTATCCCATTCACCTACTGAAAACAAAGAGTCCCAAAAGAACTTTGACTGCCAAGCCATGGGTATTTTCAGTGTTCAGACTACAGCAATCCCTGCTGCATCACGAGCCACTGATTTCTCCCTCTTTGTGGTGGCACTGCTCTCTTCTGCTTCTCTTACTAACTCCTACATGCCTGTTATGTCCTCCACCTACTGTAAATGTTAGCAGGGCTCGATTTCTAACCTAGACACAAGGTAGATCCTTTCATTTATCTCTCATAGCTTTAAAGTTAATATGCCAGTAACTCTGTCCCTTCCTTCAAATTCATATACAATATTTCAAGATTAATATCCCACATACACCTCAAATTCAACATGTTTAAAATTCAGCATTCATCTGTTCTTCCTCGGCCAAACTTGTGTCCTCTATTTCACTTCACAGCATACAATCTATAGAAGAAATGAAATCAGCTGATGTCATGCATGTATTTATTAAAGCCAGACTTCACAGATTATGACAAAATAGTAGTAACAATGACGGACGCTACAACTAATGATACTTAGCAAGAGTTCAATATAATATGAAGCATTACTCTAAATGCTAGTTGTCCTGTTCCCTCAACACAACAATACTACGAATATTACCATCCTCCACTGTACCTGAGAAACCTAAGCCAAAGAAGTTAAAAAGCTAGTCCAAGATCACAGGGTAAGTAGCGATACACATGACCCAAGCTGTCTGACTTCACAACCAACACGTTTAATCACACAGGACAATAATGTCCAGGCAGACTAATCCAAACATGAAATGGACCAATTTAATAAGAACTAAGTTTCCTGTTGCAGGAAGTTACTTACTTAGTAACATTCTTAAGTAGTAAATTATCTCCCAAACTTTATTGAATCTTAAAAATTACTTTCACAGTACATGAACAAATTGAGAGAAATCAAGTTTTAAGCAACCCAAATTGACTAAAGTTCCAAAATATGCTTCCATGATTCAAAAAAAAAAAAAAAAAAAACATCAATTTCAGGGACCTATGACTATTCAATGAAAATAACCAAAACAGTTACTTAATGTCTGAGAATAGTTTATTACTCACCTTCAGGATCTTACAGTACCTAAACACTTGTCTAAGGAGAACCTAACAAGACATCTCTCTCCAAATCCCTGATGGCCTCAAGGAAGGTAACCAGCACTGCAATCCCTTTGTCAATGTAATAGGGAAGAATTCAACTCCTCTTTTCCCATTTGACCAGTAAAATTACTATCTATTGTCATCTTCCCAGATCAAAGAAGAGCAAGGACTCTAACAGCCAAGCAGATGGTTTTTTAAAAAATTTTTTTATTGCCACGGTTAATCTGGAAAACAAGCAAACAAAAAAGTAAATAAATTCACTTAGAAAATGATACAGCTATAAAATACTACTTTGTCTATGACATCTGAGGAACTAACTGACTAGTTTATCTTTGTACATAAAGAAAATTTTCTCTGTGAAACACTGAAAAAGCGATCCTTTCCTTGAAATGGTTAAGCACACTAATAAGTTAATTAGACAACTAATGTCAAAAGGGTCAAATGCATCAAGAAGTCCCTCTTTTTGCTGAACTATACTAGCCTCTCTTGCCTTGTAATTCCTTAAATGAGTAAGAACTTAAGTATAACTAATCAAAAATAATTTTTCATAATCGCTCTCCACCTGAAAACCAGATTTAAAAAAAAACTATATATAAAAGACATGAGTTTTACGTGAATCAAAAGAAATTAAAAGGCTTACACTCATCCAAGTTTTATTCCGTTAATTTATTCAATCTAAAAACATTTGCTTAATACCTTGCACCTGTAAGGGCTATTTTGATCACAGACACATGAAAAGAGATTTTTAATATGCCTCCAAGTTTTATTAGGGGAAAAAAAAATAGCAGTGATGAAACAGCTGAAGTAAATTTTGTAATGTATTTAATCTGTCTAAAGACTTTCAGAGATACCTTATTTATATAGGGTAGATGAGAAAGAACATTATAAAAATATGATGGACAAACTTGCCATAATTTAGCATGTATGTAAGTAAATACAAAAATTAGCACCCATTTTATACGGAACCATGAAGGACATTCAGTAAACAGCTATTTAATGAATGCCTACCACTATAAAAACTCTAATTATGAACTTGGGATCTAAGGGTAAATGAAGTGGTTCTGTCACACTGCCAGTTGTCCCCTAATGTCTACTGCATCTTTCATTCCCAGGTAAGACTCACCAATTACATCTGAACAACAGCTACCTAGAGAACACACTGCAACCTAGAAAATCTTGTAACTAGATATGGCCATGTTCTGGCCAATGGGTTAGTCAACTTTTGATCACCTTGAAAGTAGCAGTATAGAAGAGGAATGGATTACTTTGGCTCAAGATTTCAGAGGATTCAGTCAAAAGTAAACTGGTTCCATTATCTTTAGGCCTTTAGTGAGACAGAAAAATTATGGCAGAATGGTCTGGCAGAGGAACTTACCCACCTCAGGCAGGCAGGAAGCAGAAAAAGTATGCCAGTAAGGGCTGAAGACACCTACTGTCCAAAGGGCACCCCACTATGATTCACGCCCTTCAACTGGATCCCAGATCCTTTCAGATCCCAGATCCTATTCAGCTATGAACTCATCAGTTGATGAGGTTTCCTCAGAGACTATGATATAGCAACCAAGCCTTCAACACAAGGAATCTGGAGGACATTTTGGATCCAATCTAAAACATGTAAGTAGAAATGTCCCGGCAGCTTCCTCTTCCTCTCCTCCTCCATCCAAAGCCTGAAATTTCAAAGCACCATTTTGAACCCTTACTTTTTGACTCCACTGTGCATGACAACAGTCTTATTAAATATCTGCTCAAACTTTTACAGGACATCCAAGTGTTCCTATCTTATTTAAGCCCTCTTATTCTGAAAACTTGTGTCTCCACTGATGAACTTAAATAATACACTATTCAGAATACATAAAAACTCACTTTGAATTTCCAAAATTCATATAATTCCTTGGATTAAAGTGCTAGTATACAACAATTTTGCAGAACTCTTTTAATACTCCCAAATTTTAACCAAAAAGTACAAAATACTTTCTAAATATTCTCTAAAATTATGGAGTTTCAGAAAAAAAGATTTACTTTCACTCAAACTATGGTTTTTTAGTTTTACATTTGGTAAGGTAGAGAACTGTCACATACACACACACACACAAAAGAACTGATTTACATCACTCTAGAAGAGAAAACAGTAACCAAAAAAAATTCTTTCACTAGCACCTGCTCTACAAAGTCTCCCTCTTCACCCTCTTCACTCTGGTCTATACTGAAAAAAAAATTAAGGTAACTACTAGTCCCTGTACAGACTTTTTCGTGGGATGTATAATACTAACATTCACTTGATTCCCAACTGATGTCTTGATATTAGATGGAAGGAGGTCAGAGGTCAGATTCCTTGAGGTCTTTTGTCTATTTTCAAAAACACAGCTGCTGGCAACAGTGAGCCAGGAAAATGAGGCACAGAATGGCTAAACATGCTCGGGGCTGGCAGCATGTCTTCAGGATCAGTACTATTAACTACACAGCCCAGGAATCAATCAACACTGCCATTTGTCAAGATTATCATAAGATAAAATCCTATAAAGTAATAGGTTGAATTAAATCAAGTTGCATTTAACTTCCAACTCTAAGATCTCATTATATCCCCAAGGATCATGCCACATTGAAGGTTGTAAATCTTTTAAATCACTACTTCTTGATGGTTTTGTCATTTGCTATATGCTTTCCAGCTCTGTCACATCTTTCTTGATGTGTAAGAGGCAGAACTTTACATAACTATATTATACAGTTGTAAATACACAATTATTTTGCACAAAGACAAAATAATGTTTTCAAATTTCTAATAGCATTCACAGATACAATCCAGTATTTACTACAATCATATCACCTCTAACTATATGAAGTATAGTATGTGTACAACCTACACATATTCCATACTAATCCCAGTACTTCTTCATTTAATTTTGATATATCATAAAAATATTGTATCTACCAAAACAAAGAAAAGTGATAATAAAAATACTGATAAAATTTAGACCTCAATTGTAGCCCACTTATCTGGGAGGCTTAAACAAAGTAAACAATTGCCAAATTGCCCCAATGTTATAAAGGATACAAAAATATCACCTAATAACTGAAACTGTGTCAAAGGAGACCTTCAATCCACAAAAGCAATCTATTTAATTTCATTGCTCTACTACCCCAGTACTTGTATGGACCATTTCCTATATCTCCACAGTCTCTGACATTATATACAAACAAAAATTCTTACACTTTACTTATTTATTTATTTTGATGTTTGAAATATCTTTCTCATTGAAACTGTGGCATTCCACAAACATAGAAGAGATAAAGCCATGCCCTGAGGTGCCATAACCATCAGGGAAGCATTGGTGAACCATCACCCATACCTCTGCACCACCAAGAACATCAGATAGAAGGGACCCAGATGCCTAGTCCAATCCCCTGCAGGCAGGACAGGCAGCCAGAGCAGGAATCACCCGAGAATCAGCACCCAGTTCCAAGGAACACATGAAAATATCAAAATGAAGCAGCAAAGGTACAATCTCAGACCTCCAGCCAGCCCAGAACAAGTCCAGTAGACACAGACACAAAATAAATTTAGAAGTCACACACCTGAAATTTCTGAAATGATAACAACTGAAGTAAAGAAAAAACTTAGTGTTTATACTGTTTGATTAATTTTGCAAGCCTGTATCTGGTAATCTGATCAACTATTTAGATAACACTGTGCAATATAGTAACTATTATTGATTTCTCATGGTCTTATTTTTGAAATCCAGTATTGTTTTCACTGTTTTATATTATTGTTTTGTTCTACTTTATTCTCTTTAAAATAAAAGATTTAAAACAAAATTTAAAAACTGGGACATTCATAGTGTTGTCCTGCCAGGAAATTATATAAAATCGAGTCTACTGCCATGTTTTTCCTTTACAATATTTTTCCTTTATATTAAAATCAAGCATGTCACTGGATTACTGAGCACAGCCAAAAGAAATGTCTTAATTTCTTCAGGTCATATCTGGGATGTTCTGGTTTAAAATTTAGGGTACGACCCCACAAAATTATTTTTCAAAATTGATGGAGAAATAAGATACTTTCATGACAAAGAACATCTGAGGAAATTTATGACCACCAAACCAGCACTCCAAAATGTTCTGAAGGACATTCTTGAAAGAGGCAATAAGGACTACAGCTCCAAGAACCCCAAAAGAAGGAATCTTCAGTGAAGGCAAGCAATTAGGGAGAGGGGAGAAAAAGAGAAGATGCCAACAACAGGAAAATAACATGACAATGATAAGTCAATACATATCAGTTATAACCATCAAGGTTAATGGTCTCAATTCACCAATCGAAAGACACAGACTGGCAGAATGGATCAAGAAGCAAGAACCAACAATCTGTTGCATCCAAGAAACACATTTAATTCAAAAAGAAATTCATAGACTGAAAGTCAAAAGATGGAAAACAATACCGAATGCGACAGAATGTCAAAAAAAAAAAGCAGTGGTAGCTACTCTATTTACAAAGTGAATTTCAAACCCACTGATTAAAAGAGATAAAGAAAATCACTACGTCATCTTAAAGAGAACAATCCAAGAAAAAGAAATAACGATCATAAACAGAAACGCAACAAGTACCAGGGCACACAACTATATAAAACAAATGGGACATGAAAAATCAAATAAACCCTAATACAACTGAATTGGGAGATCTCAATATCACACTGTCACAAAAAGACAGATTAACAAAGAATCAATAATGAAGTACTAGAACTAAATCAAACATTTGAACAAATGGACTTAGTAGATATCTATAGTGTTCCACTTGACAGCATCAGAATACACATTCTTCTCAGCTGCATATGGAACACTGTTCAAAATAGGCCACATACTGGCTCATAGGACATGCTTAAGTAAATGCAAAGAAATTCAAATTATCATGCATACTATCAGATCACAGAGCAATGAAATTGGAAATCCACCGCAAAAGAAACTACAAGAGCTTCTTTAACACATAGAAATTAAACAGCACCCTCCTGAACGACCAATTGGTCACAGATGAAATTAAAGAAGAGGGGCTGGGGATTTAGCTCAGCGGCATAAGCACCTGCCTTGCAAGCAGGCGGTCATGAGTTCGATCCCTGGTACTGATAAAAATGAAAAAGACAAAAAAAAGAAATTAGACAGTTTTTATAGTTGAATGCAACATACTGGAATTTGTGGAATATAATGAAAGCAGTCATAAAGAGAGAAATTTATACTA